CTCCCCAGATCCGCCAATGTGAATTGCGAGAAAATGTAACTCGGTCGGGTACTGGATTAACATTCTCTTTCCCATCCTTCTTCCCTCCTTCTTTTTTTGCATTTCCGATCCTACAAAAATTTCCAGACATTATATATTTTCCGCCAAAAAGGGGGGGGCCCGGCCCCCCCCCCCCGCTTCCGCCGGCCATGCAGTGTTCTTATGTGTTACAGTAATACATGTAACGTGAAACAGTTTAGTGTAGTACGATTGGAAGAGTGTTTTCCCCGCTACCGGTCTCGGATTCGAATCCCATGATGTCTATGTTTTTTATCATTATTTTTTTAATTGTTCGTACTAAACATAACATCTTATATATATACAGAGAATAATTATGAGATGTGTCTGGAGGATGCACTCGGTTAATTTTTATTTAAAAACCTCGAAAACCAATAAAAAATACGAAAAAAATCTTTATCTTCCATTTGCTTTTAAGTCATATAGTGGTGTATAATAGGCTACTCTTTTAAGAATATTTTCCCTAAAAAATAAAATATGATACGACTCTATGTTAAGGAGTTATGATATGTTTAGCATGATATCAAGAATTTAGCTTCAAAGCTTATCTTTTTGTTGATATTATAGCACCACTGATTTTGGCCGTTTGTCATGGTCATCACTTCAAAATGTCTACAAATAATGCGTGGTAAAGGCGTCTTCTTCACATACTCAAAACGACGTTCGAATTTCATGTCGAAATTGTACTACTACATAACATAATGTGCAAACCACATAACGTCATGTCCAAACCACATGATATCATGACCAAACCGCATACATCATGACCAAACCTCATAACATCATAACCAAACCACATAACCTAATGACCATACCACATAACGTCATAACGATTGCACATAATAGAGTGTTTGCATATAACCGGAGATACTAACTGCCGCCGTTCCATATACCCGTCCGGTTCCTTGTCTAATATTAATTATCAGAACTGATTGATTTAATTTATGCAGTTAGATGCAGTGCAGCACCACAGTACAATGATTGTACACACCACAGGCCTATTGAAAATTCCAAAATATTACAGAGTGAAGGGTTGGTCTGTCATCATTCTTTCCTGGTAGTCATTGGAGATGCCTACACGACATACCGTAAACGATTTTTGTAGAGCATGATAACATGGCATTTTTCCCCGTTTCAATGCCTGTCATTGCAACAAATCATTGCAATATACCGGTGACAATATCATTAGTCCCATCACTAACTAAAATTTTCCACCGCCTTGGCATCATCATTCTCTTAATAGCCATCGCCATAACTCCTGAGAATGCAGGAAAGTGCATATCCCAGACAGACCACACTCATCTGTTGACAATATAAATGAAATTATAGTATAATCCCTATTAGGAGGACACCTCCGGGACCAAAAAATGTTTACTCTTAGTGGGGGATGGTGCAGGGGAGCACTAGCGAATAATATATGTGTAATTGAATAGGCATTTTAGCATGTCAGTCATACAATGAGGACATTCTTTGATTTCAGTTGATAAATTAAACTAAATTGTATACACTGCAAATAGGCCTACAATATATTATGATGACTTAAGGCCTAATAAATGTAAAAAAAAAACAATAAAAGTTGTATATTGCTCCAGATTCCAGTGCTATAGATACAGAAGAATGAAT